AACCTTTCTGACCAAATCACTCTCTGAACAAATCATTCCCCTTTAGTTTCCCCTTTCCGTAATATTTTCTGCATATATATGTGCATTCTGCTTTTTTCATATACTATAAACATCTTTCTACAGCATATTTTTATGGTTACACAATATTCTTTCATTATTTATTCAAAAGTGCCTACTTTAAGCCAGGTTTTGTGGACATGGCAGTGAACAAGTCAAAGCCTTTGCTGTCATGGTGCTCATGTGCAAGGATGTTACTTATTTTAAAATAAGTAAATGTATATCAGATAGTGATATGTGCCATGCAGAGAATTAAAATATGATATGATAGTGTCTATTTTAGACTGGATGGTCAGGGAAGCTCCTAATTCATATCTTTGGGAAAAGGGAGCATCCTGCTGCCGGTGCCAGGCAGCCACTTGTGCCCCATAGCAGAACACCTCAGGTCAAACCATCCCCTCTTTTGTCACTCTGCCCAGTGGCTGGACACTGTCATCTCCTATCGCGTGACCCACTGGACAAAATGGGGATAAATTGAGCATATGAAATTAGGTAAGTGGAGAAACTCTAGGTAACCATATCTCCTCACTCTGAAAAGGTGTAGCTTTTCCTGAGAAAGTGTAAGTTTCTACTCCCCTAAAACAAAGTCATAAAAACAGACACCATCTCTTCTTTGTCTTTCTTCCCTTCTGTTCCCTTCCCCGGGATAGGAAGGACCTGTGCAGGACGACTGGAGGGAGGATAATAAAGCTTAAGTGAAGGGTTACAATTCCGGTAATGGTGGCCTAGGTAATTAGGACCAACTCTGCCATAGAAAACGTAAGCTGGATGGAATGTTGAGAAAAGAAAAGCATTCCAAAGAGCTAACAGGAGTGAACAATTAGGGATCTAACTCTAGAGAAGCAAGAGATAGTTTGTAATTCCAACACTCAGGGCTGCCTTCGCCTGAAGCCATTTGTTGCTGGAAGGAGACCCCTGTGAATCTCAGCTGTGAGGTCGGTGGACATGCAGTATAAGGGGTACAAGTGTAAAAGTGCTGAAAGCTGGGATTCTGAATAATCACCCCACATTTGAACTGGAACCCCAAATGAAACCCTTCAAGAAAATGTTGAACTGGAGATGAATATGTCTCTCAGATTCAGCTCGTCTTGGAGATATAGGGAACCTCAGCCTTCAAAATCTACAATATTGATCAGGCTGGTGGTGTGCCCAGGTGACTGACAAAAGCAAATGAATATAATCTTTAGAGAAACGTAATATCTCAGACATTAAAGTATTCACGCACACGTACCCTTTTTCTAGTAACTTCCAGCACATTTTCAAAGATAGCAGGTATACAAGGAGACATCCTGAAAAGAACATGCAGAAATAATAGACAATAAATAATGACACAAACACTTCAGATACTGGAATTATCAGAGAAAGAGTATAAAATAGCAATTTTTTAGAAGTTTATTACATTTTTATTTATTGATTTACGGACTTTAGAGAGGAGAGATAAAGAGACAGCAATTTGTTCTTCCACTTATTTATGTATTTACTAGAGGCCCAGTGCACGAAATTTGCGCACTGGTAGGTTGGTCCCTCAGCCACTCTGCACCCTCTGACATTCTGGGACTGCTGACTCCCAACTGCTCACCTGCCTGCCTGCCTGATTGCCCCTAACTGCTTCTGCCTGCCAGACTGATCACCCCTAACCACTCCCCTGCCAGCCTGATTGATGCCTAACTGCTCCCCTGCTGGCCTGGTCACCCCCAACTGCCCTCCCCTGCTGGTCCAATTGCCCCTAACTGCCCTCCCCTGCAGGCCATCTTGTGACCACATGGGGGCGGCCATCTTGTGTGAGGGTGTGAGAGTCAATTTGCATATTACCCCTTTATTATATAGGAGGATTGGTTGCTTCTTGTATGTGCCCTGACTAGGGATCAAACCCACAACCTTGGCATCTTGGGATAATGCTCTAACCAACTGAGCTATCTGGCCAGGGCTCTTAGTATTTTCAAAGAGATAAAAGACAAGTTTGAAAATATCTGCTAAAACAAGAAAGCTTAAAAATTTGACACGGATTTTTAAAAATAACCAGTACGTTGATCCAAACAAAACATTTGCAGTTCTAGAACGTTCCCACACTTTGAGAACCACTGATCTAGGTTAACAAAAATACAGCTACTTTCAATGAATGATCTGCTTGTTTTGTTTTTCAATCAACACTCCTCCAGTTTATTCACATTCTTAGCCAATTTTCCAGCTATATCCTTAACTATGTCAGACAACATTTCAAGGAACGTATAGACCAAGATAGTAACAAGGATGGCAAGAATGAAAATGATATTCAAACTCAGTGTACACATTTTATGTCAGTCATACCTTAATAAAGTGTTTTTTAAAAAGAAGAAAAAAAAGTAACCAATGAATGCATAAATAAGGGGGAAAATCTCTCTCTCTCTCTCTCTCTCTCTCTCTCTCTCTCTCTCTCCCTCTCTCCCTCTCTCCCTCTCCCTTCCTCTCTCTAAATTCAATAAGAAAGAAAAGAAAGAGAGAGAGAAATGGAAAGTGAAGGCAAGACTTGTACCAGAGATAGCACTCTTTTACATTCTAATTTAAATGGAAATTTAAAAAATTAGAAATGAAAAGCCAGTCTTTTCTTTTCATTCAGATACAGCAAACTACAAAATATGTTGTAATTGGGCTCATTTCTTACAATCTACTTGTACTTTTCAATGTGTAAGACAGTGACAATGGTAAGCTAACCCATCATTTGGATTGTAGCAAGTTTGAACATGCTTCTAAAGCAAGATCAAGGAAAAGAGACTGTGTACTGGGTCTAGTGGTGAATTCTCTTGAAGGCCAAAGTGGCCTGTTAAAAAAGTTAGGACAGTGGTTCTCAACTGGGGGTCATTTTGACCCTCAAAACATTTAGTAATGTCTATCTACATTTTTAGTTATCAGGGCTTGGGAGGGTGGAGGGTACTACTGGCATCTAGTGCATAGAGATCAGATGCAGTAGTGCCAGTTGAGAAAGCCTGAGGATGGTTGTAAGAGTAGTTGAACTCAACTGCAGACAGGAAGACAGACAGTGTGGAAACTATGGCATGAGTAATTCTGCTTAAGGTACAGAAAAAAAGTGATGAGAAGATTTTTTTTTTAAATATATTTTATTGATTTTTTACAGAGAGGAAGGAAGAGAGATAGAGAGTCAGAAACATAAATGAGAGAGAAACATCGATCAGCTGCCTCCTGCACATCTCCTACTGGGGATGTGCCCGCAACCCAGGTACATGCCCTTGACCGGAATTGAACCTGGGACCTTTCAGTCCGCAGGCCGACGCTCTATCCACTGAGCCAAACCGGTTTCGGCGATGAGAAGATTTTTATCAGCCAGTTTCTTTTACTGGCTATTATCTGCTATGGTGAATCAAAATTTGCAAACCTCTTGACGTGTATAGAGGGGGGTTGGGGAGTTGGCTATTCTTATGAATAAATTATTCCAAATGTATATCTGAAAGTTGAAAAGCATCTATGCAAGAAAAATAAAATCTCATATTATGTGGATTGATTTTATTTGAGCGATAGGTAAGTTTATATCCTAACCAGCTAGGATTTTCCTCAGGAGCACATGGATGAAGTATGCTCTTCTCAGCTTCTGACTTCAGTAAGACGCATGGTGTTGACCCTGACCCAGGAAAATGATGAGAGCAAAGAGTTTGTAAAGTTCTTTCATAAACAGCTTGGAAGTATATTACAGGTAAGAGTTTATACTTGTATGACATAAATATGTATCACCTGATTAGGATTTTTTTTTGCCATTTCAGGCATTCTACATTTAAGTAGCTCTCCATCTAGCATTTATTTGTGGTGACATTTTAATACTTTTTAGGTTATTCCTTTACCTGGTTAAAAAAATTGTATTAAATTGTGTCTTTGTTTAATTTGATCATCTCTAAGGCCTCTCCCAACTCTAATAACATTTTGTTTTGATTTTTTTTCTACTTACTAAGAAATTTCAAGTTAGAACTGTGAAAAAAAAATTGTTTATGTGTATATATTTTTATTGATTTAAGAGAGGAAGGGAGAAGGAAAGAGAAATAGAAACATCAGTAATGAGAGAGAATCACTGATCGGCTGCCTCCTGCATGCTCCTCAGTGGGAATCAAGCCTGCAACTCGGGCATGTGCCCTAACCAGAATCAAACCCAGGACCCTTCAGTCTGCAGGCCGATGCTCTATCCACTGAGCCAAACTGGCTAGGGCTGTCTGAAAAATTTTTATCCTGTTTTCTCAAATAATTTTTGAACATTTTTGAAGCTAGAAACCAGCTGTTGATTGTGGAGACTTCTTAGGCTGTAATAGTAACCTTAAATTATGTTCAGTAGTGATTCTCAAGGGGGCGGGGGTCATTTTCCCTCCAACAAGACATTTAGCCATGTTTGTAGACGTTTTATTTGTCACAACAGGCAGGGAGGCATCCAGCATCTAGTGAGATGTTAATAGTGCTAAGGCTGAGAGAATCCTGTGTTAGGTAAGGGTACCTTACATGCTCCATATAATAAAAATCTCTATGATTAAATTCATCTGTATATTTTCCCACTGAGATAGTTCTATGATGTGTATTGTTATTCCAAACTAGAAAATACATTTTAAAAATGTTTATTACAAAATTTTTCTATATAATTTTTCCTTCCTATTCCTGTGTTTAAGTTGATTTTACAAACAGTATTATTACTCTGCTATTTTTGTTTTAGTGTTTTTTTTTCTTGAGAGAGAGAGAGAGAAACATTGATGAGAGAGAACCATCGATTGGCTGCCTTCTGCACCCTCTACTGGAGAACGGGCCTGCAACCTGGGCATGTTCCCTGACTGGAAATCGAACCTGTGACCTCTTGGATCATGGGTTGACACTCAACCTCTGAGCACTGGGCACTTTGCTAATTTTTAAAACCCTAAGCTTGATGCAAATTTCCATCACTATAATTTTCCATTTTGTTTTTATTTGGACTAAAGTATAAATTATATGTAGTTTTTAAATTGTCCTAGATCTATTTAATATAACTAACATATAACTTATAAGGAATATAAGACATCAGTGGTATTATCCATTGTTTAAGAATGCTTAAGATAATTTTTAAATAAATGTATTTTTATAAATTTAGTTAGCTTATTTCTACATGAAGAAATAAATCCCTTTTAGAATCAGGTTGAAAGAGTAATTTAAATACTTTTTGTTTATCAAGATCCATGCAGTCCTGCCTCAATTTTGCCTACTATAATCATAATTCTGGGAAAATCCCAAAGTATAAATTTGGAAATAAGATTTTTTTTTCTACATCTCAGAAAATCTGCTTTTCTTTTATCCTACTCCTGATTTATTTTTTTCACAAGGGGACTCATGAAGAATAAGGGTAGTGTACATTAAATCTTGCTTAAAGTATTAAAAGTTTTTCATGAGCTAGAGCTTAAATTACTTTTTTCTTATGAAACCTGTTCAGTTATTTTTTTTCCACAGGTACCACTATTTGTACTTCTTTCCATGATTGTACTAGATAAGATAGTTTTTGGAGGGAGGGGACACCAGATATCATAGTTATTTGCCTGTTTTCTAAACAGCATAGTTCATATTTTTAGGAAGAAAGAAAAAGATAAGTGGCTTTATTAAGAAGTGTCTGAAATATAGCAGACTTGTTTATTTGATGGTGTATTTCAGTTTGAATAGAGTTGAGGTTTTTTCAATACTAAAAAGTAATAAAATTGGTTGTTGTTTTTTTTTTTTTACTAGATGACTATTATAATTTAGATTTGTATTTCTCTATCCACAGTTGACATTCACTGTAAACTTAAAATATTTGGTTATTTCAATAGGATTCATTGGCAAAATTTGCTGGAAGAAAACTGAAAGACTGTGGAGAGGATCTTCTTGTAGAGATATCTGAAGTGTTGTTTAATGAGTTGGCTTTCTTTAAACTCATGCAAGATTTGGATAATAATAGTATGACTGTTAAACAGAGATGCAAAAGAAAAATAGAAGCAGCTGGAGTGATACAATCTTATGCCAAAGAGGTAAAGAGCATTCATTTTTATTTTAGAAGTAATCATAATCCTATCTAAAATAGACAAACATGGTAATTAACCGTACCTCCGACACGCTTCCCATTGGCTAATCAGGGCGATATGCAAATTAACTGCCAACCAAGATGGTGGCCGGCAGCCAGGCAGCTGAAGCGAACAGGAGGCTTGCTTCCTCCAGTGAAGGAGGAAGCCAAGGTTCCCCGCCTGCCGCTGC